ATTACATACATCACATTACATTACATTACATTACATCACATTACATTACCTCACATTACATTACATTACATCACATTACATTACATCACATTACATTACATCACATCACATTGCATCACATTATATCACATTACATCACATTACATCACATTACATCACATCACATTGCATCACATTACATCACATTACATCACATTACATCACATCACATTACCTTGCATCACATCACATTACCTTACATCACATCACATTACATTGCATCACATTATATCACATTGCATCACATTGCATCACATTATATCACATTACATCACATTATATCACATTACATCACATTATATCACATTACATCACATTACATTACATCACATTACATCACATCACATCACATTACATCACATCACATTACCTTGCATCACATCACATTGCATCACATTGCATCACATTACATCACATTACATCACATTATATCACATTACATCACATTATATCACATTACATCACATTACATCACATCACATTACCTTACATCACATCACATTACATCACATTACATGTCACTTGTTAGTCGCTTTTATCCAAAGCGACTAACATACTCAATACTGTGGGCAATCACCACAGGAGCAATTTGGGGTGAAGTGTCTCAGGGACACAACGACATGCTGACTGCAGAGGGGTTTGAACCTGTGCTCCCCTGATCCCAACATTAACCCACTGTGCCACACGCCTCCCCCCATTTACCTTCATTTGATTGGTTTTGCTGACTTATAACTGAACTTATGAGGCGATAACCCTCTAGTGAGTGGCCCCATTTTTTAGCTTGTGGCCCTCTGTGATAAGGTTTGGACCCCCCTGCTCTAAGCTATTGTGTGTTTGAATGAGTTTATTAGATATCTTCAACCTTTCCACACGTCGCAGCACAAAGCCAAGCTCAGCCTCTCTTAGCCACTCGGCCAAGCTCAGCCTCTCGGCCACTCGGCCAAGCTCAGCCTCTCTTAGCCACTCGGCCAAGCTCAGCCTCTCTTAGCCACTCGGCCAAGCTCGGCCACTCGGCCAAGCTCAGCCTCTCGGCCACTCGACCAAGCTCAGCCTCTCTTAGCCACTCGGCCAAGCTCAGCTTCTCTTAGTCACTCGGCCAAGCTCAGCCTCTCTTAGCCACTCGGCCAAGCTCAGCCTCTCTTAGTCACTCGGCCAAGCTCAGCTTCTCTTAGCCACTCGGCCAAGCTCAGCCTCTCTTAGCCACTCGGCCAAGCTCAGCCTCTCTTAGCCACTCGGCCAAGCTCAGCCTCTCGGCCACTCGGCCAAGCTCAGCCTCTCGGCCACTCGGCCAAGCTCAGCCTCTCTTAGCCACTCCAACCTGAATGGGAATTGAGCCGCCACAATAGTTTATTTTTAAATCTCACAAAACCTAATTTCCCCGTGAACTCTCTGCTCCACAGCTTCTCTTGGACTCACACTGTACATTTATATATTCAGTTTCATATTTAATATTCTATCTCTCACATACTCATGTATATATAATAACTTGCTTTATATCTTGTTATTGTTCATTTGTAAAGTCAACATGTATATTTTCTACTTTCTTATTTATTTCTAGTCTTTTAATTTGTATTGTTCAATGCCTTGTGTTTGATGCTGCTGCAACACAAACACTTCCCACATTGGGATCAATAAAGTACTTCTGATCGTATCGTAATAAACTCAGTGTTCTGGTTCTGCCCGTGTAAAGGTGTGTTTCTGACCCCCCCCTCTTCGTCTTCAGAAAGTTCTCTATATGTTCTGAATGTCTGGGAGCTTATCTATAGCTTATCTTATCCGTTTAATGCCGGGTTTCCGTACCCATCCCTATAAAGGTGTGTTCCTGACCCCCTCCTGTCTCTGTGTCCTCAGCGGTGCCATACCCTCCAGGTACGCGCCTCACGGTGAAAGACCTGTATGTGGACGGCAGGCCCAGCGTGGAGGTGCTGAAGGCTCACCTGGTGAAGGAGGGCCGCCTGGAGGAGGAGACGGCTCTGAGGATCATCAACGATGGAGCCGCCATCCTGCGCCAGGAGAAGTGCATGCTGGAGGTGGAGGCCCCCATCACAGGTGAGCCTCACTCAACAGCTCTTTAAAGCTCTGCTGTGATCCTAAAGTCACTTTCTAATGTCCTTTCTACATCACCGTGTGTCAGGAGACTCACAAAGTGATGTCTTCTCTACATCACCATGTGTCCCCGGTGTGTCAGGAGACTCACAAAGTGATGTCTTCTCTACATCACCGTGTGTCAGGAGACTCACTAAGTGATGTCTTCTCTACATCACCATGTGTCCCCGGCGTGTCCCCGGCGTGTCAGGGGACTCACAAAGTGATGTCTTCTCTACATCACCATGTGTCCCCCGTGTGTCCCCCGTGTGTCCCCGGTGTGTCCCCGGTGTGTCCCCGGTGTGTCAGGAGACTCTCAAAGTGTCAGGATATCAAACCCTCTCTCTTTTCCTCCGTACCCACATCTCTGAAAACGGGGGAACAACGGAGCTGATCCAGATTTGCTGCGTCATGACCACATTACTAAAATGTGGGCGGGCTTTACACCAGGGTGTCCGCGGGGTCTTAAAAAGTATTAAAAGTTGATAAATCAATTTAGCGAAAATTAAGGCTATTAAAAAGTATTAAAAAAGGTCTTGAAAGGTATTCCATCTGACTTCAGGATTCCTGCATAGACCCTGTACACCCACGGGCCAATCAGAAAGCAGGATTCCTGCATAGACCCTGTACACCCACAGACCAATGAGAAAGCAAAGACCATGTTACTTCCAAAACACGTCGTGCATTGATTCTGATCCAGCGAGGTGTCTCAGAATCCCTCCATCAGCCTCTGTGGGACTGATGGAGGGATTCTGATGTGAACACGTTTAGTCGTCTCATTGAGACGCTTGTTAGCAGTTAGGACTCGGTGAGGAACCTTCCTGAGAGACAAAGTCTGGATCTGTTTCTACACCCTCATGCTCTCCCTTTTTTTTATCTCCTTCATCACTTTTTGTTTTCATACCGATGTTCTTGTTTACATGCAGCAGTGCAGATTAGCTGGAAATCCTTCCACCTCCTTTTGAAAGGGTCTACTTTGTTATGTTCTAAAAACTACTGATATCTACGTCTTTCATCATGTTAGAAGGGTTTGGGTCTGACCTGTGCTGTACTCAGAGAAGTACTCAGAAGTACTCAGAGAAGTACTCAGAGAAGTACTCAGAAGTACTCAGAGGAGTACTCGGGAGTACTCGGGAGTACTCAGAAGTACTCGGAGCCTGTCCTTGAGTAAAAGTAGAAGTACTCAGATCTTGTACTTGAGTAAAAGTAGAAGTACTCAGATCTTGTACTTGAGTAAAAGTAGAAGTACTCAGATCTTGTACTTGAGTAAAAGTAGAAGTACTCAGATCTTGTACTTGAGTAAAAGTAGAAGTACTCAGATCTTGTACTTGAGTAAAAGTAGAAGTACTCAGATCTTGTACTTGAGTAAAAGTAGAAGTACTCGGATCTTGTACTTGAGTAAAAGTAGAAGTACTCAGATCTTGTTCTTGAGTAAAAGTAGAAGTACTCAGGTCTTGTACTTGAGTAAAAGTAGAAGTACTCAGATCTTGTACTTGAGTAAAAGTAGAAGTACTCAGGTCTTGTACTTGAGTAAAAGTAGAAGTACTCAGGTCTTGTACTTGAGTAAAAGTAGAAGTACTCAGGTCTTGTACTTAGTAAAAGTACCAGAGTGTAGGAAATACTCAGTTACAGTAAAAGTCCTGCATTCAAAATGTACTTGTACATCCAATAAAATAAAATATAAATATTTAAATAAACTCAATAAGTTTAATAAAATGTGCAATAAAAGGATAAAATAAAGCTGTTTCTAAAAACACAACAAGTTAAAGTAAAAATATCTGATTAAAGATAATAAAAAAATATATATAATTAAACGGTTTATTTGGATTATTGGACCTTTTTCACATTTCTTGCAGCCCTGGATTAATGCAACGTCTCTGATGTTAGAAGTGTTTGTTCTGACCTGTGTGTGTGTGGTGTGTGTGTGTTTGTTTGTTTGTTTGTGTGTGTGTGTGTGTCAGTGTGTGGAGACGTTCACGGGCAGTTCTTTGACCTGATGAAGCTGTTTGAGGTGGGGGGGTCGCCCAGCAGCACCCGATACCTGTTCCTGGGAGACTACGTGGACCGAGGGTACTTCAGCATTGAGGTAAAACTTCACGATATTTAATAATAATACTCTTTATTTGTATTGCACCTTTCATACAATAAGTGTTCTTCACATAGACCTCTCTTACCTGTAACATAAAAACATTTAGATTCAAGGAGGATAATGCAAATTCACAATCAATTATTATCAGATTATTAAAAGACATCACCGTGGACATATTTCACTTGTTTTGGAAAATTCTTATTTATTTCCTAAAATATATAAAAAAACAAATATCTTTATTTTAAGTAAAAATGTGCAATAAAAACCTAAATAAATAAAATCATATGTATTTAAAAATAAGTAATTAGTTATGATGTGCAATAAGGGGATTGAATAAAATAACAATATTTATAAATACATAAGTGAAAGTAATGGTGTGCAAAAAATATATATATTTAAATACACAATAAATAATATATATATTTAAATACACAATAAATAATATATATATTTAAATACACAATAAATAATATATATATTTAAATACACAATAAATAATATATATTTGTGTGTGTGTGTGTGTGTGTGTGTGTGTGTGTGTGTGTGTGTGTGTGTGTGTGTGTGTGTGTGTGTGTGTGTGTGTGTGTGTGTGTGTGTGTGTGTGTGTGTGTGTGTGTGTGTGTGTGTGTGTGTGTGTGTGTGTGTGTGTGTGTGTGTGTGTGTGTGTGTGTGTGTGTGTGTGTGGTGTGTGTGTGTGTGTGTGTGTGTGTGTGTGTGTGTGTGTGTGTGTGTGTGTGTGTGTGTGTGTGTGTGTGTGTGTGTGTGTGTGTGGTGTGTGTGTGTGTGGGTGTGTTGTGTGTGTGTGTGTGTGTGTAGTGTGTGTGTGTGTGTGTGTGTGTGTGTGTGTGTGTGTGTGTGTGTGTGTGGCCTATAAACGCATTAATCAGAGAAGTATTTTATATAAAAGGTCAAAAAAACTTTCAATTAACTTTTTTTAATTTGTTTTGGATAAACTTAACAAATATGAATTGAAGCAGAACATTTAATAAGATGAATAAAAACAGCTACTAACAGCACTAGCCCTTTTTAATAATCATAATAGTGTTTTGACTGCTGTGTATTGAAACAGAATATTCGGTAAGATTAAACGTTAACTTGAGCGAGTTATTTGAGCTTCTTCTCCATCTGACACTTTGCACAAATAACAGGCAAAAGAAGAAAATGAACTCTGAGCGTCAGGAGTAAAGCTTTCTATGAACTGCCGTTTCAAACCCCTGAGATGTTTCTGCAGGGTAAATACTGTCCGTGGTGTTTTTTAGTGCACTTGTTATTCCTGAGTTTTGATGAACAGCTGCTGAGATCTACTCCTCCTCCACGCCTTCAGGAAATATAGAAACTGAGATTGAACAGGTGGTTCGATGCAGAACCAGAGAGTGAGCGGCAGCTGCAGGGAGTGGGCTCATGATGTGCGTCAGATTCACTTATTACTTCATCACTAATGCAGAAGCTTCTCGCTCTCATCTGAGAGCAAAGACAGACACTCAACTTTACTTTGTTTCTGACCTTCTTTAAATCCAATAAATACACCTTTTTCTCCCCAAAACGTCTTTTACAAATCAACGTGTGATTTAGTTATTGCAGTCTTTGCTGTGTTAGTTCTGGAGATCACGTGATCATATTCAAGTGAATTCCATTGAATAAACAAGACATTTACTCAGAGTAAGAATCACTTATTTATCCTGGGAAGTTTCAGGACTGTTGCTCCATTTTATAATTATATAAATGGACGTAGTGTCTGTGACGTCACCCATAGCTTTCTGAGTTGCTGAGAAGCCCTTAGTAGGCGGAGTCTAACTCCAGCCTGATCCAAATAAGGGCAAAGAGGCGGAGCCGAGGCCGAGGCGGAGCCGAGGCGGCACCAGATAAGTCCGATATTTAAATGAAGAATGCTCCACCAGGAACTAACACAACAAACACGTCCGAGTTCAAGTCGTGTTCCCCGGATCAGCCTCGCAGCCGAGCCCCTGTAGCATCCTGGAGCTAACAGAGCTAACGGAGCTAGCAGAGGGACAGAAAGCTAGAAGCAGCAGTCACCGTAGAGACCTGTCCATCAAAGTGACCACGCCCTAATTTATGCAAAAACGTTAAGACCTAATATATAACTAAAAGAGGTTGGTTATAAAAGAATTCACTCCCCAATTCATAATCATGAAGGTGGAATCTAACTATATCCAGAATACTTTGTATTGCATCCAGGGGTAGAGACGTGTTTATTATCTATTATCTATGGAGACTGCTCCTTTCTGCAGCCGGCTCCTACTGGCCACTAGATGAACTGCAGTTTGTGGCACTTCCTTATGGGCTTCCCGGCTCTGCCCCAGAGTTTGCCGCTTGTATATAATATATATGTTTGTTGATATATAAATGATATATGTTTCCCCCCTGTGTTCAGTGTGTTCTGTACCTCTGGGCTCTGAAGATCAACCATCCCAACACCCTGTTCCTGCTCAGAGGAAACCACGAGTGCCGGCACCTCACAGAGTACTTCACCTTCAAACAGGAGTGTGAGTGTTACACACACCCTCTCTCTCTGTGTGTGTGTGTGTGGCACTGTTTCAGCAGTGTGTGTGTGTGGCACTGTTTCAGCTGTGTGTGTGTGTGGCACTGTTTCAGCAGTGTGTGTGTGTGTGGCACTGTTTCAGCTGTGTGTGTGTGTGGCACTGTTTCAGCTGTGTGTGTGTGGCACTGTTTCAGCAGTGTGTGTGTGTGGCACTGTTTCAGCAGTGTGTGTGTGTGGCACTGTTTCAGCTGTGTGTGTGGCACTGTTTCAGCTGTGTGTGTGTGTGTGTGGCACTGTTTCAGCTGTGTGTGTGTGGCACTGTTTCAGCTGTGTGTGTGTGGCACTGTTTCAGCAGTGTGTGTGTGTGTGGCACTGTTTCAGCAGTGTGTGTGTGTGGCACTGTTTCAGCAGTGTGTGTGTGTGTGTGGCACTGTTTCAGCTGTGTGTGTGTGTGTGGCACTGTTTCAGCAGTGTGTGTGTGTGTGGCACTGTTTCAGCTGTGTGTGTGGCACTGTTTCAGCAGTGTGTGTGTGTGGCATTGTTTCAGCTGTGTGTGTGTGTGGCACTGTTTCAGCTGTGTGTGTGTGGCACTGTTTCAGCTGTGTGTGTGTGGCACTGTTTCAGCTGTGTGTGTGTGGCACTGTTTCAGCAGTGTGTGTGGCACTGTTTCAGCTGTGTGTGTGTCACTGTTTCAGCTGTGTGTGTGTGTCACTGTTTCAGCTGTGTGTGTGTGTCACTGTTTCAGCAGTGTGTGTGTGGCACTGTTTCAGCAGTGTGTGTGTGTGGCACTGTTTCAGCAGTGTGTGTGTGTGTGGCACTGTTTCAGCAGTGTGTGTGTGTGGCACTGTTTCAGCAGTGTGTGTGTGGCACTGTTTCAGCTGTGTGTGTGTCTGCTTATCCACCAAGCTGTGTTGCAGGTGTGTGTGTGTGTCCTCCCACAGCGCTGTGTGTGTGGCAGGCAAATACAGTACAACAGTGCTCTAGTGTCATTGGAAGTTAAACAAATACGGAGTCTGTGGTGAGGCAGAATATTTACTTAATATTTGTTTACTTTTCTAAATATATAACAATATCATCTCTGAGAATATTCAATTTATTTGGAGTACATTTTAGGCTTTGAGTTCAGAGGGTTTATCGTACATTCTTTATTTTACTTGCAAATGTATGACTTTTAAAATCTCTGAGAATATTCACTTTTCTTTTTCTTTCAAATGTGTTCAAACGCCTTATTTTCCAATTCTATTCTCAAAGAATGTCATTAAGGTGGTTCATTTTAGGAAAACCAGTTGAATATTATCTAGGATTAAAGTGTTAAATGAACAAGATAATAACTTTAATAACTTTATTTCAAATTTGCGATTTTATTCTTAGAAAATATATATATATAAAAACAGCCAATTTTCTCTCGTTAATTCCTGACCACATTTCTCTCAAAGTGTTTTTCTCTCTCGTGTTTATGACCTTGAGTTTCTTCTCTGAATATTCCCCCTGCTCCGATATCACGTTGCTTGACCTCCAAAGACCTTCCTCACCATCGCTCAGTGAAGAGCTTTGGTTATTCTTTAATGGAGTGAGTTGTCAGTTGTGTCGCTCCTCGCAGCCTCGACCTTAATTGATCTCTAATTTTAGACTTTCAGAATCTCGTTAACAACTCAAACGGACTTTCTTACTGTCATAGCAACAGAGAGAGAGCTGAGCAGCCTTTGCAGTGTGCTGCAGGTTAAACAAAGTACCACAGTGTATTCGTGTTATTTGTGTAAATATATGACTTCATAATCTCGGAGATTAACACATGTTTAAATGTATGGCTTTAATTTCAGAGCATATTCAAATGTTTCTCTTATATTTTGTTTCTCTCGCAAATGTATGAGTTCATAATCTGAAGAATATCCAAAAGAATAATTATTTTCTATTCTCCTTAATTAACCCCTTCAATGTCAGAGAATATACACCTTTTTTTAGCAAATTCAATACAAGAATAGTCAAAATTAAATGTATTTTTTAACCTGTTAAGCCCCATGCAACATCTGCAAGAAACAGCGTCTGAGGGCTTCTTAACATTTAACAAACTATGAATGTGTCAAACCCACTAGGGCTGTGCGATTATGGCAAAAATCATAATCACGATTATTTTGGTCAATAATTGATATCACGATTATTAAATACGATTATTCATTGACTTTGAAAACATCCATTTATTGAACTTTAAAACAAATACAAATAATAATTTGAACAGTATCTTTTTAACTGTTGATTACCCTGAACGTATAATTCAACTGAAAAACCAATACAAAAATAAATGATACATTTAAATAAATAATATAAAAATAATAAATACCAATAAACAAGATCAACAAATATTTTGGAGCGCACTTCCACAAGCTACTAAACATATATAAATATGATAAATACAAATAAATGAGACCAAAATACATTAGATCAAATATGTTGCACAGTCACAACCTAGCAAAGCTAAATAATCGTTTTTTTCGATTATGTTGTTTACGTAATTGTGGCAGGCCGAAATCGTAATTGCGATTAAAATACGATTAATTGCACAGCCCTAATGCCCACTTAACGGGAAGAAACTCGGCTAACTGACGATACGAACCATTTTCACCGAAACAAAACACAAGTCTCACAAGAAGCGTCTAAATGAGCGAAACGCACTTAGCACAGAACTCACGGTACAAATACTTTATTACTTATCGGATCTGCCCAAACAAGATATCGATTAGCAAGCTGAGGTCCCACAGATTCTAGGGGTATACGTATCACCGCTGAGCGATCAGAACCCGCGACATGGGAAGCAAACCCAGACATCACACCACGTCGCTTTGGGGAGCAAACACGCACATATTCTTAGCTTTGTGGTTTTCTGATCAAACGTCGTGTTCAATGCGTCCGTGTCACTTTGAACACATTACTGAGAATCATTCCATTTTTACTAGTTTGAGCCGAGGGTTCAGTTTGCAGAGCGTAACATAGCTTTCACTTCTCAATGGAACGTGTCGCTGGATTTAGGAACTTTCCCTTCGATTCTATTGGCTCTCACGGTTCAACAGAGACGTCAATTATCAACATATTTGATAGGCTACTATCCCGTCATTCAAGGACAGTTTTCACTATAAGTAATGGGTTGATTTGATTTGGACGGACACAATCATTTACATTTTTTTACTATCTGAATTTACTGTAAAATAAAAACATCTATATTGATTCTGACTTTTCTACATCCAACTCACAGGTTTATCAATACTTTGAGAATAAAGATGATTAATTTAACCCTTTTAGAAGATATGGTCATTTGTTCTGGGCATGGCATTTAAACCCTGAGACCTGAAGAACAGGCTCAGAGCTTAAGAGGTTAAAACAATATATTAGGGCTGTGCGATTATGGCAAAAATCATAATCACGATTATTTGGGTCAATAATTGATATCACGATTATTAAATACGATTATTCATTGACTTTGAAAACATCCATTTATTGAACTTTAAAACAAATACAAATAATAATTTGAACACTATCTTTTTAACTGTTGATTTCCCTGAACGTAGAATTCAACTGAAAAACCAATACAAAAATAAATGATATATTTATATAAATAATATCAAAATAATAAATACCAATCAACAAGATCAACAAACATTTTGGAGCGCACTTCCCCAAGCTACTAAACATATATAAATACAAATAAATGAGACCAAAATGAATTAGATCAAATATGTTGCACGGTCACAACCTAGCAAAGCAAAATAATTGTTTTTTTCGATTATGTTGTTTTTTTTCGTAATTGTGGCAGGCCGAAATCGTAATTGCGATTAAAATACGATTAATTGCACAGCCCTACAATATATCGTATTTTTTTTTCTCATCTTTTTACAACTTTAATCAAGTTGTTATCTGAATATTCCCCCGTCATTCTGCTCCGTTATTACGGTTTTTTAAACTCTAAATGTCTCGAATAAACCGTCCTATAATGGCGTGAGTAGTTTGAGGATCAAGTATACACTCGCAGCTCCGAGCAGATCCATCTGAATTGATCTTTGATTTTAGATTTCTTGCATTTCTCGTTAGACTTTACCCGTCGTATCAAGTTTCATCTCCAATCTCCCCGACCTGTCAATTGAAAGCCTCGAGTTGCTGCCAGGCAGGTCACGGCTACTCAGCCTCCTGTTCTCTGGACCCACGCTAACAGACATGGAACCGTTTGGTATCGTTTACTCTAGATCTCTTCAAATGTAAAATATAACAAGTATGTCAATCGCTTATTAAGTTAACACAACCAGACACTCGGCTATCATGAAAGTACCCATTGTCCACCGGGAGACATAGCCATCATTTATTTGATATTTTGCCTGATGAATAATGAAGTTAGAAACTGTCTAAACAGTGTTAAACAACAATAACTCGTGTGTGTGTGTTCTCAGGTAAAATAAAGTACTCTGAGCGAGTGTATGACGCCTGTATGGACTCGTTCGACTGCCTGCCGCTCGCTGCGCTGCTGAATCAGCAGTTCCTGTGTGTGCATGGAGGCCTGAGCCCCGAGGTCACCTGCCTGGACGACATACGCAAGGTGAGCACGCCAACAAGTGTGTATATATATGTATATTTAACTTCAGAGCATATTCAAATGTTTCTCTTGTAAATATTTTCTCTCACAAATGTATTAGTTCATAATCTGAAGAATATCCAACTGTTTTATATTTTCTGTTCTCCTTAATGTACCCCTTCAATGTCAGAGTATTCAAAACATGTTTTAAGCCAATTCTACAAAAATAGTACAATTATTTTTGAAAAAGAAAATAGATTTTTTCTCGTATCTTTACAACTTTAATCAAGTTTTTTCCTGTGAAGAAATACAGCGTGACAATGTTTATGTTGGGCTATGATTACAAATCGCCTGAAAATGGTACAAACAAGCGGCAACATGTGTGATGGTGTGGCGCTGGGCTGTATCACGCAGTTGAAAGTGAAACTTAAGCTCGCTTCGTTGCGGAGATAATCCTGCGAGAGTGGGACAAACTATTTTCTTTCAAACCTACATTTTCTTGATCAAAGTTGTACATTTATAACAAAAAAAACTGGATTTTCTAAGAAATAAAAAATGTAAATTTAGAAAGAGATTCTGAGATCTTGTCTGAAATTTAAATGGTGTTCAATTCAGGAGAAAAAACTCACACATTTATAGGGTTGGGAACCGAAACTCTGTTCCAGATGAGAACCGATAAGAAAATGCCGGGTACCCATACAAAATACACAATTTCGGTTCTGCTTAACGGTTCCTAAACGCGGTAGACCCTGTATTCCACCGGGTCCGTCTGCGCCGCGGTGACCCGGTGGAATACAGAGTACGGACTGGCCATCTGTGTGTTCTGGAGAATCACAGAACGGCCGGTCGGCTCGGTTCGCTGACGACCGGCACCGCCCTAAACGGCATCATGTAAGTTGCGCTGACAGGCGACAGAGGTCCACTGTTGTCCCGCAGCGAGGCTCCCCCTGTCCTCCCGCAGCGAGGCTCCCCCTGTCCTCCCGCAGCGAGGCTCCCCCTGTCCTCCCGCAGCGAGGCTCCCCCTGCCCTCCCGCAGCGAGGCTCCCCCTGTCCTCCCGCAGCGAGGCTCCCCCCGCCCTCCCGCAGCGAGGCTCCCCCTGCCCTCCCGCAGCGAGGCTCCCCCCTGCCCTCCCGCAGCGAGGCTCCCCCCGCCCTCCCGCAGCGAGGCTCCCCCCGCCCTCCCGCAGCGAGGCTCCCCCCGCCCTCCCGCAGCGAGGCTCCCCCCGCCCTCCCGCAGCGAGGCTCCCCCCGCCCTCCCGCAGCGAGGCTCCCCCCGCCCTCCCGTAGACAGTTCACGAGCTCAGTCACTTCATAACACCAAAGATGGGTCGTGGTAAACGCTCTGAAGTGAGGCTCCACTACACTGAAACAGACTAGGCACAGTGTAATGCCTGTTGATAGCTTGCCACAGGCTCAGTTCAAATAAAGCACAGCTATTGTGCAATACATTTGTATTACATGTATATTTTTTATTTGTAAAAATGTCAGTTAAAGCTTAAAAGAATAAAGATATGTTTGTTATCTAAACGTTTGACCTCTTGCTTTTACAATTTTGGAATCGAAACGGGGAATCGATAAGAACCGGAATCGATAAGAACCGGAATCGATAAGCAGAACCGGAATCGGAATCGATAAGTTTCAAACGATACCCATCCCTACACATTTATGAAGATTAGTGTTACATTTCCAGGGTACAATAAATAAATAATTGTGTTTTTTCAGTGCCTTAAAGGTGGGGTAGGTAAGTTTGAGAAACCGGCTGGAGATACACTTGTTGTTATATTCCATGGAATGCTCTTAACATCCTGATAGCAATGAATATCTGAAGTGCTTTGACAACAAATCCATAAATAAATATCATCAGTGGAAGCTGTAGTACTGTAAAAAGCACAACCAATCATCTGAGCCGGCCCGGCTAAGGTAACTGGATGGCCTACCTGCCTGTCAGCCTTCCATCTGTGCACAAACTTATCTCGTGCCCTCATTGGTCATGTGCGCGTTCGTGTGTGTTGGAGGAGGGGCTCTGTGAGGAAGTGGCAGAGTTTCTCCGGTTGTGTAATTTCAAATTCTAGCGCACTCGAGCTGGTTTCTCAAAATGACCTACCCCACCTTTAAAGAACATGTGTAAAGGGTTAGTATTATATCAACAAAAACAAAGTCAGTGTGCCAATAATCAATACCTTAAAAGGAATTTCTGTGACTTGTAGATTTGAGTTTTTATTGTTTCTCTCTGAAGCATTTTGAGACGCATTCTTTATCTGAAAGTTGATATATAAATAAAGTGAATTTAAATGAGGCGTGGGGTTCATCACATGTTGGTTTCCTGCAGCTCCTAAACCAGTTCAAATGATATCACTTTATGATGTCTCATGAAGTCAGGAGCACATGCTGTGTTTCTGAACCTAGAAGGACCCTTCCTCTCCGTGTCCTCTCCGTGTCCAATCATCTGAGCCGGCCCGGCTAAGGTAACTGGATGGCCTACCTGCCTGTCAGCCTTCCATCTGTGCACAAACTTATCTCGTGCCCTCATTGGTCATGTGCGCGTTTGTGTGTGTTGGAGGAGGGGCTCTGTAAGGAAGTGGCAGATTTTCTCCGGTTGTGTATTTTCAAATTCTAGCGCACTCGAGCCGGTTTCTCCAAACTTACCTACCCCACCTTTAATAACTCCAAATATTGTTCACTATTTTTCTCAAATGTTCCACGATATCCACCTTTTTTTTTAAAGTGAATGTATGTACGAGTTTGGGTTCAACGAAGTACATCTTATTTCATAACAATGACATTATATTTTCCTGTGTGTGTGCAGCTGGACCGGTTTAAAGAGCCTCCAGCGTTCGGGCCGATGTGTGACCTCCTGTGGTCGGACCCGGGAGAGGATTACGGTTCAGAGAAAACCCAGGAACACTTCTGCCACAACAGCGTGAGAGGATGCTCCTACTTCTACAGGTAACACACCTAAAGTATATAATATAAAACACAGTCAACAGCGTGAGAGGATGCTCCTACTTCTACAGGTAACACACCTAAAGTATATAATATAAAACACAGTCAACAGCGTGAGAGGATGCTCCTACTTCTACAGGTAACACACCTAAAGTATATAATATAAAACACAGTCAACAGCGTGAGAGGATGCTCCTACTTCTACAGGTAACACACCTAAAGTATATAATATAAAACACAGTCAACAGCGTGAGAGGATGCTCCTACTTCTACAGGTAACACACCTAAAGTATATAATATAAAACACAGTCAACAGCGTGAGAGGATGCTCCTACTTCTACAGGTAACACACCTAAAGTATATAATATAAAACACAGTCAACAGCGTGAGAGGATGCTCCTACTTCTACAGGTAACACACCTAAAGTATATAATATAAAACACAGTCAACAGCGTGAGAGGATGCTCCTACTTCTACAGGTAACACACCTAAAGTATATAATATAAAACACAGTCAACAGCGTGAGAGGATGCTCCTACTTCTACAGGTAACACACCTAAAGTATATAATATAAAACACAGACAACAGCGTGAGAGGATGCTCCTACTTCTACAGGTAACACACCTAAAGTATATAATATAAAACACAGACAACAGCGTGAGAGGATGCTCCTACTTCTACAGATACTGCGTTTAAAATCTAAAATAAAAAGACTAAAATCAGCTGTTTTTAAAGCTTTACAAACATTGTGCTGAGTGACTCTGCTGGGAATACATATTAGCATTCTGCTCCGTAATATAATACTGTTAATACGTGTTCTGTATTTATACAAACCCCACAGATCCTCAACTCCGGTGTGTCTCACTCATTAAGGCGAGACACGGCAGGCACAAACATCGTTTTCATGCACTGGTCAATTTAGATTTGTCTATTTGCGTCTGTAGGTTTCTCCTAAATTCCCCAAAAGTTAGCTTTCTAACGTAACATAAAGTACCGCGACCGCTGTTTGCACCATGTCATCAGAGGCATCGTTGGAAAGCTCCGTCTCTCCTGCTCAATCTCATCGGATCCAAATATGGTCATTTCCTTTGTATCAGCAACCAATTGTGAACGTGCAAAGGGGTCTTAAACCAAAAAACTAAATCTCATTGGCTGGTGTCAATTTCTGACAACGTGATTCGTTCAGATGCGTCACGTGGTGTGCTAAAACACTTCCTGGTTAGCTTTCCGCTAGAAATGTACATCTCAAAATGGCAAAAGAACAGCGATAAAAACGTTCACAGAGAAGACGACAACAATTGTCACTTCCACGAAGCAAGGTTAGACAAAAAACAAATGACCCCGAACACGGAGTGCGTCGATGCGCAGGCTGTCATCCAGAGAACAGCAGCGTTTAGCTAGCGCCTCACAGCAATCTTTAAAGGTGCTTTTCTCAAAATGAGTTTTTTCTCCTACTCTGAGTGAGAAATGTCCACTTCAGTAGCACGTACATACACCAAACCTTCCAGTTATATTCCTATCAATATTCTGAAGGCTTTTACTGAAGGGTTTGTTTATATATCATTCATAGGCTGAATTATATAACATTTTATACCTAAAAACATGGCGAAAACTGATATTTTAGGGCTGTTGACAGTATTTTCTGATTTATGGAGTGATAAAAAGAGATATCCCAAATCCCTTCAGTAAAAGCCTTAGATACTAATATGACTACAAAATGAAACAATCATTTTGAACCTGGCTTTATCCAATGTTCAGATTTGTGTTCCTGAAATGTGTTAAAACAGGGGTTTTCAAAGTGTGGGAAGGTGAGCCTCCCCTCAGAGAACATAAGAACAGCCGCGCCCCTCCCCTCCCAATTATTATTGCTATTATTATTATTATCATTGTTGTTGTTGCTATAATGCAGGGGTATTCAATTGCATTTCAAAGAGGTCCAGTAAGATAAAATGAAGACTGTTTCTCTCCTCTTGTCTCGTCTCTGTGTGTGTGTTTGAATCTATCGTGCTGGCTCACTGACTGCACCGATTTGATTGGCTGAGTAGCGTCACCTCCTTAAAACATTAAACAATAACTTTTTTAAACCTTTTTATCTTTATGTTTTAAACATATTGTATACAACTCCCCCACTACTTGGACTATTCCTTGCACCCCTCTAGAATAAGCCCGAATGGTCTCAACCATATTGCATCAGTAATAACGTGCACTTTGTTGTTATCGTTATAACAAGATCGCAAGGACAGTGGTAGCGATCGGACAATTGAGTGTTGTTCAGTTTGTGTGTTGTGGAACATGCGTGTCCGTGCATGACAATATACCACACACCCAATTACAAAAGCATGTTCAATTCACTACCCTGGAAGTTAATAAAGTTGTTAAAGTTGGAACAGCCTGTGGACAGCCGTTCTTCCTCGCATGTCAGTCGCCGACACCTTCTTACAGAGGACAGGCAAATCTAGCTGCAGCACGACCCGTATATTTTCGCACGCCGTGTTCTCAACACATATTTTTAAAACATTTTTAACATTTTCAACATCGTGGATAAATCCTTATATGTTCCCGGCAACACACTGAACGTCAATTTTGCCTCCTTATTACACTCATCCCTACTTTAGTGGGAACAATGAGTCTGCGTCTTTGATGCACACAGGAATAAACGCAGATCATACTATGCACTTGATTTTGATCAAAGTCCATGCGGAAAACCCGCACTCACACAGGTAGGTGGAGATGAAGGGAATGAGCACTTTTACAGCCTTGTAGGCGAGGTGGGGGACGCGGTCTCCACAGACAGCCAACAGTGGGCAAGTGTCACTTTTCTCATCTTTTCTCGTTATTTTTTTTCTCACGCTGCGCCTCCCCTGAAGCTCTCTGGCGCCCCCCAGGGGAGGCGCGCCTCACACTTTGAAAACCGCTGTGTTAAAATATGCGCATATTTATTGAGATTGTGGCTCATTTGCATATTTAAACATGCTATTTCAGAAAACTTGTAATACTAAAAACAATTGTCTTAATGTAAGTAATTAACTGGAGAACTTTCTAGCTGATATCTTTAAGTAAAAAAAATGACCCTATTCACCTGTAGTGTCTGGCCCAGAGTTCCCGTTAGAATATTTCTTAGCCGGTCAAAATGTCCGTTAAAGTTTAAATCTTCCGGACAAAATGAGAAAAGTGCCGGTCAAAGGTCTTCTTTCTTATTTATTGAGCTTTAAAACAAATTGATATGATTTGATATTAAACAAACTAATTATAGTAGATTAATTTACAGTAATAGTAACTTACAATAACACGGGAATAATAAACGGAGCGCTCTCCCTCTCCTGACAGCCCGTCAGTATCATGCAGCTCGCGGATCCAGTAATGAGTGACCCGACAGTAAAACTAAACATATCTATAACTAGTTTAGGTAGTTTGAGAGGTAATTCAAATAGCTACGTGATGTTCTAACCTGAAGTGTGTGTTGCTCTGCTCACCGCTGCAGGGGATCATGCAGAGCTGCGTGTCGACTCGTCAGCAGCAGCTGATCTCTCTCTCCCGTCAGATTAGACTTCACTCGCGTTTATGTCCATATCGATCAGATCCAGCTGGTTCTAGCTAATGATATGACTACCTGCTTATTAAAAGACACCTAAACAATAAGCGTCGCTATGCAACCGGGTGAGGCCACAAAGTATAGCGCAGCATTATGCATTTGTTTACATGCCCACCGGAACCCAGAGGCATTACCAACAGATCAACGCACAATCAACCCATACAGGACATCTCTTTCTCCACGTGTTAGACATTAGAATGACTCTCTTGTCTGTCACGTACTCTTCTTGTCTGTCACGTACTCTTCTTGTCTGTCACGTACTCTTCTTGTCTGTCATGTACTCTTCTCGTCTGTCACGTACTCTTCTCGTCTGTCACGTACTCTTCTCGTCTGTCACGTACTCTTCTCGTCTGTCACGTACTCTTCTCGTCTGTCACGTACTCTTCTCGTCTGTCACGTACTCTTCTCGTCCGTCACGTACTCTTCTCGTCCGTCACGTACTCTTCTCGTCCGTCACGTACTCTTCTCGTCAGTCACGTACTCTTCTCGTCCGTCACGTACTCTTCTCGTCCGTCACGTACTCTTCTCGTCCGTCACGTACTCTTCTCGTCCGTCACGTACTCTTCTCGTCCGTCACGTACTCTTCTCGTCCGTCACGTACTCTTCTCGTCTGTCACGTACTAAGGGGAAATTATTTTGACCAGAGAGATTTAGATTTGCCGGTCTTCAGCATATTTTACCGGTCATAGTCCGATAATTACCGGCTAACGGGAACTCTGGTCTGGCCTTAATAGAGTGCCACAGTGACGCGTCCTAAAACCCGGAAGTAAGTTAGCATTTCACCACTTCCGGTTCCTTCGACAGAAAGCAATGCAATCTCTCCACAGGGTTTAGGAAAATAGCTGGAAATCAGGTCTGTGGTTGAGACGCATTGAAGAGACGGATCACGTTTTGTTCAGTCGGATAATCTCCACATGTCTACCCTACTTTGATCATTTATAATCGGTAGATTTATGATCGATAGAATTATGATTAGAAAATGATAAAAGTAGGGTAGACATGTGGAGATTATCCGACTGAACAAAACGTGATCCGTCTCTTCAATGCGTCTCAACCACAGACCTGGGGCCTCATTTATAAAGGGATATACGCTCAAAAAATGGCGTACGCCAGTTTCTACGCAATGTTTGCGATTTATAAAATACTAACTTGACGGGAAAATGTGCTGTCCTCCACGCAAACTCTAACCCATGCGTACGCACTAAGCACACAAACGGGAGAGACGAGAAACTGCGACACCGTTGGCAGAAGAAAGAATGGAGAGAAATATGTGGAAATAATACCATCAATAAAATGTTCATTTATCAAATATGAAGAATTCATTTTCAAACATTGATTAAAGCCAATCTTAAAATGATTAAACAAACGCCTGTTTGAGACTCCTCAGTGCACACAGACACATCACTTGGAGAAATAAATAAATACGGATATGTTATTTAAAACCACCTCGAATATGTTGTGTTAATGTTATGAAATGTTTTCTCATAAATGATGCGGTAAGCAGGAGGACAGAATGACGTCTAAACTGACGCCGTTTTGCATTTCTATAGGTTGTAGATACGAGCATGGTTTTATATACTATCACGTTTAATCGTGTTTTATGCCGTTTGCCAAGACTTGATAAGTCGCTCGTAAAACACAGGAGGTATGGAAACTAAGAACACCATATGTGGTAAACAGCTAATATAACACAACACATTGTATTTCCTTTAACTGGTGGATTATGGATATATAGTTGCTGATCGACAGCTGGAACACAAACCACCAAATACAACACAATAATTCAGATCCAGTCGTCATGACTACACTCCGGAGGGATTCCCCCATCATTTCTTACAGTTTCTCATCAAGGGGGGGGTCTCCTGTCCCCGGGACAAACACACTGCCTGAGGAAGGTAATGTGTATTTTTTTTGTCATGAACTTTTTTCGGACCACTTATTTATTTATTTTGGTGACGATCCGACCTCCATGCTGCTCCTCTGGTTCAAACTGCATCCACCAAACAATATGATTTATCTCCACCTCCCCAAAATAACCAAAATCTGACTCGGTGTGAGATGTCTTTTTTAGCTGTTCTATCGTAATTTCCTGCGATCTTCTTCATGCAGTCAGTCAGAATGAATGAATGAATGGGCGTTTCTTTGACTATGTATAGGCAAATATGGGCGTTACGAGTCGATTGTGATTTATAAAGGGAAACAGGCGTAGGGAGTGCCGTACGCACTTCCCTCGCCGGTACGCAATGTTTTGTGAATCGGAAAATGGCGGAAAATTTATGTACCTATTTTTGTGCTTTGTACTACGTAAGCAACCTTCCTACGTCAATCCTACGCAAGGCGTTATAAATGAGGCCCCTGATTTCCAGATAGTTTCCTAAACCCTGTGGAGAAGTTGCATTGCTTTCTGTCGAAGGAACCGGAAGGAGTTTACTGCCGGGTTTTAGGACGCGTCACTGTGGCTCTCTATATCTGTTCTGTATTGATGGTGTTGAGGTCACGCTGAGGGGAAGCTGAGGGGAAGCTGAGGTCACGCTGAGGGGAAGCTGCCGTCTCTGTTTGCATTTATTTGTCATGAATTTGATATTTGAAACTCGTAAATATAGGATTTTAATCTCAACTGTTGGGACTGACCGATGACATCATGTTTATTTGTTAACCCACGATGGCTCTGATTGGCCTTCGTACTAACGAGTGATGATGTCATGAACCTCCTCGCTGCCTTAATTGATCTCTAATTATAGATTTCCAGCTTTTCTCGTTATCATTTCTGAACTGCCGTAGCACCGGAGGAGACGGAGAGACTTCCAGAGGACATTTATCAACAACACCTTTTTAATTATGATTGTTCTTGTTCCCCAGTTACCCCGCAGTCTGTGACTTCCTGATGAACAATAACCTGTTGTCTGTAATACGAGCACATGAAGCTCAGGATGCAGGGTGAGTCTCTTCCTCCTCCTCTTCCTCCTCCTCCTCCTCTTCGTAAATTTAGGACTAAAAAACGTACTAATTTATGATAAAAGTGAATAAAATTGTACATTTTCTCCTAAATGTGACTTCATTATCTCAGAGAATATTCAACTCTCTTTTATACATTTACAATTTTAAAGTTAGTTATTTTTTAAATGTTTTTGTTATCTTTACCCTTCATGTTATTTTACATTTAATTTTCTAACCCCTTTATCTTATCCTCACACTTTTTACATTATGATCTATTTGATCTTAGTCTCTGTTTATCCCGGGTTAGTGTTAAATAAATGTGTGTTGTTGCGCGTCAGGTATCGAATGTACAGGAAGAGCCAGACGACCGGCTTCCCGTCTCTCATCACCATCTTCTCCGCTCCCAACTACCTGGACGTGTACAATAACAAAGGTGAGAGTAACCACGGCAACAGGCTGAAACCTTGAAGCCCTGGCAACAGCAGACATGTTAATCTGTGTGTGTGTGTGTGTAGAAGGATTTATCTAATATATCATATTCTTAATTACTTAAGATTTAACTATTTCTATTCTGTGTGTATTTATCTGCGCTACTTGATCCGTGTCATTGTGTTGCTGTTGGAGGAGCCTGGGACCTCAGATCATCATAACTCCACTGTAGCTATGCACACATGACAATAAAGCCTTGAATCTTGAATGTGTGTGTGTGTGTGTGTGTGTGTGTGTGTGTGTCCTCAGCCGCGGTGCTGAAATACGAGAATAACGTGATGAACATCCGGCAGTTTAACTGCTCCCCCCATCCCTACTGGCTGCCCAACTTCATGGACGTGTTCACCTGGTCGCTGCCCTTCGTCGGGGAGAAAGGTGTGTGTTTCTGACTTTTTGGGAAGATTTTTGGTTTAAAGTTTAGAAAATTAAGGGGGAAATATGTGTTGATATATATGTCTTTCTCATAAATTTACTATTTTAATCTCATAGAATATTTACATTTTTAGCATCAAATGTTCCACTATATTGGTCGGCTCAGTTGTGTTTTCATATATTGTTTATTTTTATAAATGGGACATTTTCAGTTAATTAACAGATATTTTCAAAAGCAACAAAACAGAATATTCATATTTCTTTATCCTAATGACAGTACATTGAATATATTTAGGTTTAATTGGACAAAAGCATCAAACTGAAGGCCTGTGTGTGCTCTGACCAACTGATAGTGTTTATGTATTGATGGGGTGTGTGTGTGTGTGTGTGTGTGTGTGTGTGTTGCAGTGACGGAGATGCTGGTGAACGTGTTGAACATCTGCTCCGACGACGAGCTGATGTCAGAGGGAGACGACACGTGCGAGGGTGAGACAGGAAGTCACAGCGCTGTGATTTTCAGTGTAAAATATGAATTTATCCGAGACGCTACAGATGTGACCGTGAGGCGTTCGAGGTCCTGTGGTTGTGCAGGACTTTGTAAAGCACTTTTTTATTACCGTTTCTTTTGTAGATATTTTGCGTATGTTTATTGTTTTGCTGGAGTTCGTTTTTTTTTCTAGATATTTTGTGACTTTGAATGTTATTTTATAGCTCTTTTTAGTCATCTTGTGTCTTTTTCCGGTCCTTTTTGTAGTTTTTTTTACAATTATTTTGTAGTTTCTAAAATAATGTTGTAGCTTTTCTAGTTATTGTAGTCGTTTCATAGCTTTTTATTACGTTATTTTATGTTTTTCATAGTCCCTAAACAGTTTTATGAGACATGTATTGTCCTGCAGGAGGAACCCCTGCTGTGAGGAAGGAGGTGATCAGGAATAAAATCCGGGCGATCGGGAAGATGGCTCGCGTCTTCTCTGTGCTCAGGTGAGATATACCTCTGTGTACTATATATTATTGATGGGTTTATTTATATCATTCTGTGAGATTTTGAGCATATTTTCTGCTGATTGTTGACGTTTTAATGTTGGACAGGATTATAGTTTCTCTACAGATCTGTTCTTGCTCCACTTTAGTAAAAGTTGTTCACTTTTTTTTTATTCCTGAGGAAGTGTGTCAGAATAATTTGTCCTTTTTAATGACGAATAACTCAAAAGTTATTTTAAGACCCAGAGAAGCGTTAATCAGTTAGTTAGTTAGTCAGTTAGTTAGTCAGTTAGTTAGTTAGTTAGTCAGTTAGTTAGTCAGTTAGTTAGTTAGTCAGTTAGTTAGTCAGTCAGTTAGTTAGTTAGTTAGTTAGTTAGTTAGTCAGTCAGTTAGTTAGTCAGTTAGTTAGTTAGTTAGTTAGTTACTCAGTTAGTTAGTTAGTTAGTCAGTCAGTTAGTCAGTTAGTTAGTTAGTTAGTCAGTCAGTTAGTTAGTTAGTTAGTTAGTCAGTCAGTTAGTTAGTCAGTTAGTTAGTTAGTTAGTTAGTTAGTTACTCAGTTAGTCAGTTAGTTAGTCAGTCAGTTAGTCAGTTAGTTAGTTAGTTAGTCAGTCAGTTAGTTAGTCAGTCAGTTAGTCAGTCAGTTAGTTAGTTAGTTAGTTAGTTAGTCAGTCAGTTAGTTAGTTAGTTAGTTAGTCAGTCAGTTAGTTAGTCAGTTAGTTAGTTAGTTAGTTAGTTACTCAGTTAGTTAGTTAGTTAGTCAGTTAGTTAGTTAGTTAGTCAGTTAGTTAGTTAGTTAGTTAGTTAGTCAGTTAGTTAGTTAGTTAGTTAGTTAGTTACTCAGTTAGTCAGTTAGTTAGTCAGTCAGTTAGTCAGTTAGTTAGTTAGTTACTCAGTTAGTCAGTTAGTTAGTCAGTTAGTCAGTTAGTTAGTCAGTCAGTTAGTCAGTTAGTTAGTTAGTTACTCAGTTAGTTAGTTAGTTAGTCAGTCAGTTAGTTAGTTAGTCAGTTAGTTAGTCAGTCAGTTAGTTAGTCAGTTAGTTAGTTAGTTAGTTAGTTAGTTACTCAGTTAGTCAGTTAGTTAGTCAGTCAGTTAGTCAGTTAGTTAGTTAGTTACTCAGTTAGTCAGTTAGTTAGTCAGTTAGTCAGTTAGTTAGTCAGTCAGTTAGTCAGTTAGTTAGTTAGTTACTCAGTTAGTTAGTTAGTTAGTCAGTCAGTTAGTTAGTTAGTCAGTTAGTTAGTCAGTCAGTTAGTTAGTCAGTCAGTTAGTTAGTCAGTTAGTTAGTTAGTTAGTTAGTTACTCAGTTAGTTAGTTAGTCAGTCAGTTAGTCAGTTAGTTAGTTAGTTAGTCAGTCAGTTAGTTAGTTAGTTAGTCAGTCAGTTAGTTAGTCAGTTAGTTAGTTAGTTAGTTAGTTAGTTACTCAGTTAGTCAGTTAGTTAGTCAGTCAGTTAGTCAGTTAGTTAGTTAGTTAGTCAGTCAGTTAGTTAGTCAGTCAGTTAGTCAGTCAGTTAGTTAGTTAGTTAGTTAGTTAGTCAGTCAGTTAGTTAGTTAGTTAGTTAGTCAGTCAGTTAGTTAGTCAGTTAGTTAGTTAGTTAGTTAGTTACTCAGTTAGTTAGTTAGTTAGTCAGTCAGTTAGTTAGTTAGTCAGTTAGTTAGTTAGTTAGTTAGTTAGTCAGTTAGTTAGTTAGTTAGTTAGTTAGTTACTCAGTTAGTCAGTTAGTTAGTCAGTCAGTTAGTCAGTTAGTTAGTTAGTTACTCAGTTAGTCAGTTAGTTAGTCAGTTAGTCAGTTAGTTAGTCAGTCAGTTAGTCAGTTAGTTAGTCAGTTAGTTAGTTAGTTAGTCAGTCAGTTAGTTAGTTAGTTAGTCAGTCAGTTAGTTAGTCAGTCAGTTAGTCAGTTAGTTAGTTAGTTAGTCAGTCAGTTAGTTAGTTAGTTAGTCAGTCAGTTAGTTAGTCAGTTAGTTAGTTAGTTAGTTAGTTACTCAGTTAGTTAGTTAGTTAGTCAGTCAGTTAGTTAGTTAGTCAGTTAGTTAGTCAGTTAGTTAGTTAGTTAGTCAGTTAGTTAGTCAGTTAGTTAGTCAGTTAGTTAGTCAGTTAGTTAGTCAGTCAGTTAGTTAGTCAGTTAGTTAGTCAGTCAGTTAGTCAGTTAGTTAGTTAGTCAGTTAGTTAGTCAGTTAGTTAGTTAGTTAGTTAGTTACTCAGTCAGTTAGTTAGTTAGTTAGTTAGTCAGTTAGTTAGTTACTCAGTCAGTCAGTCAGTTAGTTAGTCAGTTAGTTAGTCAGTCAGTTAGTTAGTCAGTCAGTTAGTCAGTCAGTTAGTTACTCAGTCAGTTAGTTAGTCAGTCAGTTAGTTAGTCAGTCAGTCAGTCAGTTAGTTACTCAGTTAGTTAGTTAGTTAGTTACTCAGTTAGTCAGTCAGTCAGTTAGTTAGTTACTCAGTTAGTCAATCAGTTAGTTAGTCAATCAGTTAGTTAGTTAGTTAGTTACTCAGTCAGTCAGTCACTCAGTCAGTTAGTTAGTTAGTTAGTCAGTTAGTTAGTTACTCAGTCAGTTAGTCAGTCAGTCAGTCAGTTAGTTAGTTAGTTAGTCAGTTAGTTAGTTACTCAGTTAGTTAGTCAGTTAGTTAGTCAGTCAGTCACTCAGTCACTCAGTCAGTCAGTTAGTCAGTTAGTTAGTTAGTCAGTTAGTTAGTTACTCAGTCAGTTAGTCAGTCAGTCAGTCAGTTAGTTAGTTACTCAGTTAGTTAGTCAGTTAGTTAGTCAGTCAGTCACTCAGTCACTCAGTCACTCAGTCAGTCAGTTAGTCAGTCAGTCAGTCACTCAGTCAGTTAGTCAGTTAGTTACTCAGTCAGTTAGTTACTCAGTCACTCAGTCAGTTAGTTAGTCAGTCAGTTAGTCAGTCAGTCAGTTAGTTACTCAGTTAGTTAGTCAGTTAGTTAGTCAGTCAGTCAGTTAGTTAGTTAGTTAGTCAGTCAGTTAGTCAGTCAGTCAGTTAGTCAGTCACTCAGTCAGTTAGTCAGTTAGTTACTCAGTTAGTTAGTTAGTCAGTCACTCAGTCAGTCAGTTAGTCAGTCAGTCAGTCACTCAGTCAGTTAGTCAGTCACTCAGTCAGTTAGTCAGTTAGTTACTCAGTTAGTCAGTCAGTCAGTCACTCAGTCAGTCAGTTAGTCAGTCAGTCACTCAGTCAGTTAGTTAGTCAGTTAGTTAGTTAGTCAGTCAGTCAGTTAGTTAGTCAGTCAGTTAGTTAGTTAGTCAGTCAGTCAGTTAGTTAGTCAGTCAGTCACTCAGTCAGTTAGTTAGTCAGTCAGTTAGTCAGTCAGTTAGTCAGTTAGTTACTCAGTTAGTTAGTTACTCAGTCACTCAGTCAGTTAGTTAGTCAGTCAGTTAGTCAGTCAGTCAGTTAGTCAGTTAGTCAGTTAGTCAGTCAGTCAGTTAGTTAGTCAGTCAGTTAGTTAGTTAGTTAGTTAGTCAGTCAGTCAGTTAGTTAGTCAGTCAGTTAGTTAGTTAGTCAGTCAGTTAGTCAGTCAGTCAGTCAGTCAGTTAGTTAGTTAGTCAGTTAGTCAGTCAGTCAGTTAGTCAGTTAGTTAGTCAGTCAGTTAGTTAGTCAGTCAGTCAGTTAGTTAGTCAGTCAGTTAGTTAGTCAGTCAGTCAGTTAGTCAGTCAGTTAGTCAGTCAGTCAGTCAGTCAGTCAGTCAGTCAGTCAGTCAGTTAGTCAGTCAGTTAGTTAGTCAGTCAGTTAGTTAGTTAGTCAGTCAGTTAGTCAGTTAGTCAGTTAGTTAGTCAGTCAGTTAGTTAGTCAGTCAGTCAGTCAGTTAGTCAGTCAGTCAGTTAGTTAGTCAGTCAGTTAGTTAGTTAGTCAGTCAGTTAGTCAGTCAGTCAGTCAGTTAGTCAGTCAGTTAGTCAGTCAGTCAGTCAGTCAGTTAGTTAGTCAGTCAGTTAGTTAGTCAGTCAGTTAGTTAGTCAGTCAGTTAGTTAGTTAGTCAGTCAGTTAGTCAGTCAGTCAGTCAGTTAGTCAGTCAGTTAGTCAGTCAGTCAGTCAGTCAGTTAGTTAGTCAGTCAGTTAGTTAGTCAGTCAGTTAGTTAGTCAGTCAGTTAGTTAGTCAGTCAGTTAGTTAGTCAGTCAGTTAGTTAGTTAGTCAGTCAGTCAGTTAGTCAGTCAGTCAGTCAGTTAGTTAGTCAGTCAGTCAGTCAGTCAGTCAGTCAGTCAGTTAGTCAGTCAGTCAGTTAGTTAGTCAGTCAGTTAGTTAGTTAGTCAGTCAGTCAGTTAGTCAGTCAGTCAGTTAGTTAGTCAGTTAGTCAGTCAGTCAGTTAGTTAGTCAGTCAGTTAGTTAGTTAGTCAGTTAGTTAGTTCAGTCAGTCAGTCAGTTAGTTAGTTAGTCAGTCAGTCAGTTAGTTAGTCAGTCAGTCAGTTAGTTAGTTAGTCAGTCAGTCAGTCAGTCAGTTAGTTAGTCAGTCAGTTAGTTAGTTAGTTAGTCAGTTAGTCAGTCAGTCAGTCAGTCAGTTAGTTAGTTAGTCAGTTAGTCAGTCAGTCAGTTAGTTAGTCAGTCAGTTAGTTAGTTAGTCAGTTAGTTAGTCAGTCAGTCAGTTAGTTAGGTAGTTAGTCAGTCAGTCAGTTAGTTAGTCAGTCAGTTAGTTAGTTAGTCAGTTAGTCAGTCAGTCAGTTAGTTAGTCAGTCAGTTAGTTAGTTAGTCAGTCAGTCAGTTAGTTAGTCAGTCAGTCAGTTAGTTAGTTAGTCAGTTAGTCAGTCAGTCAGTTAGTTAGTCAGTCAGTTAGTTAGTTAGTCAGTCAGTCAGTTAGTTAGTCAGTCAGTCAGTTAGTTAGGTAGTTAGTCAGTCAGTCAGTTAGTTAGTTACTCAGTTAGTTAGTTAGTTAGTTACTCAGTTAGTTAGTTAGTTACTCAGTCAGTCAGTTAGTTACTCAGTCAGTTAGTTAGTCAGTTAGTTAGTCAGTCAGTCAGTTAGTTAGTCAGTCAGTCAGTCAGTCACTCAGTCAGTTAGTTAGTTAGTTAGTTACTCAGTCAATCAGTTAGTTAGTTAGTTAGTTAGTTAGTCAGTCAGTTAGTTAGTTACTCAGTCAGTTAGTTAGTTACTCAGTCAGTCAGTCAGTTACTCAGTCACTCAGTCAGTTAGTTAGTTAGTTAGTTAGTCAGTTAGTTAGTCAGTCAGTCACTCAGTCAGTTAGTCAGTTAGTTAGTCAGTTAGTTAGTCAGTCAGTTAGTCAGTCAGTCAGTCACTCAGTCAGTTAGTCAGTTAGTTAGTTAGTCAGTTAGTCAGTTAGTTAGTCAGTTAGTTAGTCAGTTAGTTAGTCAGTTAGTTAGTTAGTTAGTTAGTCAGTTAGTTAGTCACTCAGTCACTCAGTCAGTCAGTTAGTTAGTCACTCAGTCACTCAGTCAGTTAGTTAGTCAGTCAGTTAGTCAGTCAGTCAGTCAGTTAGTTAGTCAGTCAGTCACTCAGTCAGTTAGTCAGTTAGTTAGTCAGTTAGTTAGTCAGTCAGTCACTCAGTCAGTTAGTTAGTTAGTTAGTTAGTCAGTTAGTTAGTCAGTCAGTCACTCAGTCAGTTAGTCAGTTAGTTAGTCAGTTAGTTAGTCAGTCAGTTAGTCAGTCAGTCAGTCACTCAGTCAGTTAGTTACTCAGTCAGTTAGTTAGTCAGTCAGTTAGTCAGTCAGTCACTCAGTCAGTTAGTCAGTTAGTTAGTCAGTTAGTTAGTCAGTTAGTTAGTCAGTTAGTTAGTCAGTTAGTTAGTCAGTCAGTTAGTCAGTCAGTCAGTCACTCAGTCAGTTAGTTAGTTAGTTAGTTAGTCAGTTAGTTAGTCACTCAGTCACTCAGTCAGTCAGTTAGTTAGTCACTCAGTCACTCAGTCAGTTAGTTAGTCAGTCAGTTAGTCAGTCAGTCACTCAGTCAGTTAGTCAGTTAGTTAGTCAGTCAGTCACTCAGTCAGTTAGTCAGTTAGTTAGTCAGTTAGTTAGTCAGTCAGTTAGTCAGTCAGTCAGTCACTCAGTCAGTTAGTCAGTTAGTTAGTTAGTCAGTTAGTTAGTCACTCAGTCACTCAGTCAGTTAGTTAGTCAGTCAGTCACTCAGTCAGTTAGTCAGTTAGTTAGTCACTCAGTCACTCAGTCAGTTAGTTAGTCAGTCAGTTAGTCAGTCAGTCAGTCACTCAGTCAGTTAGTCAGTTAGTTAGTCAGTTAGTCAGTTAGTTAGTCACTCAGTCACTCAGTCAGTTAGTTAGTCAGTCAGTCACTCAGTCAGTTAGTCAGTTAGTTAGTCAGTTAGTTAGTCAGTTAGTTAGTCACTCAGTCACTCAGTCAGTCAGTTAGTCAGTCAGTCACTCAGTCAGTTAGTCAGTTAGTTAGTCAGTTAGTTAGTTAGTCAGTCACTCAGTCAGTTAGTTAGTTAGTTAGTTAGTCAGTTAGTCAGTCAGTCAGTTAGTTAGTTAGTCAGTCAGTCAGTTAGTTAGTCAGTCACTCAGTCAGTTAGTTAGTCAGTCAGTTAGTCAGTCAGTCAGTCACTCAGTCAGTTAGTCAGTTAGTTACTCAGTTAGTTAGTTAGTCAGTCACTCAGTCAGTTAGTTAGTTAGTTAGTTAGTCAGTTAGTCAGTCAGTCAGTTAGTTAGTTAGTCAGTCAGTCAGTTAGTTAGTCAGTTAGTTAGTCAGTCACTCAGTCAGTTAGTTAGTCAGTTAGTTAGTTAGTCAGTCAGTCAGTTAGTTAGTCAGTTAGTTAGTTAGTCAGTCAGTCAGTTAGTTAGTCAGTCAGTTAGTTAGTTAGTCAGTCAGTCAGTTAGTCAGTCACTCAGTCAGTTAGTTAGTCAGTTAGTTAGTTAGTCAGTCAGTCAGTTAGTTAGTCAGTCAGTTAGTTAGTTAGTCAGTCAGTCAGTTAGTTAGTCAGTCAGTCACTCAGTCAGTTAGTTAGTCAGTCAGTTAGTCAGTCAGTCAGTTAGTCAGTTAGTTACTCAGTTAGTTAGTTACTCAGTCACTCAGTCAGTTAGTCAGTTAGTCAGTCAGTCAGTTAGTTAGTCAGTCAGTTAGTTAGTCAGTCAGTCAGTTAGTTAGTCAGTCAGTCAGTTAGTTAGTTAGTTAGTCAGTCAGTCAGTCAGTTAGTTACTCAGTTAGTTAGTTAGTTAGTTACTCAGTTAGTTAGTTAGTCAGTTAGTTAGTCAGTCAGTCAGTTAGTTAGTCAGTCAGTCAGTTAGTCAGTTAGTCAGTTAGTTAGTTAGTCAGTTAGTTAGTCAGTCAGTTAGTTAGTTAGTCAGTCAGTCAGTCAGTTAGTCAGTCAGTCAGTTAGTTAGTTAGTCAGTTAGTTAGTTAGTCAGTTAGTTAGTCAGTCAGTCAGTTAGTTAGTCAGTCAGTCAGTTAGTTAGTCAGTCAGTCAGTTAGTTAGTTAGTCAGTTAGTTAGTTAGTCAGTTAGTTAGTCAGTCAGTTAGTTAGTTAGTCAGTCAGTCAGTCAGTTAGTCAGTCAGTCAGTTAGTTAGTTAGTCAGTTAGTTAGTTAGTCAGTTAGTTAGTCAGTCAGTCAGTTAGTTAGTCAGTCAGTCAGTCAGTTAGTCAGTCAGTCAGTTAGTTAGTTAGTCAGTTAGTTAGTTAGTCAGTTAGTTAGTTAGTCAGTCAGTTAGTCAGTCAGTCAGTTAGTTAGTTAGTCAGTTAGTTAGTCAGTTAGTCAGTTAGTTAGTTAGTCAGTCAGTCAGTCAGTTAGTCAGTCAGTCAGTTAGTTAGTTAGTCAGTTAGTTAGTCAGTCAGTCAGTTAGTTAGTCAGTCAGTCAGTTAGTTAGTCAGTCAGTCAGTTAGTTAGTCAGTCAGTCAGTTAGTTAGTTAGTCAGTTAGTTAGTTACTCAGTCAGTTAGTTAGTCAGTTAGTTAGTCAGTCAGTCAGTTAGTTAGTCAGTCAGTCAGTTAGTTAGTTAGTCAGTTAGTTAGTCAGTCAGTCAGTTAGTTAGTCAGTCAGTCAGTTAGTTAGTTAGTCAGTTAGTTAGTTAGTCAGTTAGTCAGTTAGTTAGTTAGTCAGTCAGTCAGTCAGTCAGTTAGTTAGTCAGTCAGTCAGTTAGTTAGTCAGTCAGTCAGTTAGTTAGTTAGTCAGTTAGTTAGTTACTCAGTCAGTTAGTTAGTTAGTTAGTCAGTCAGTTAGTCAGTCAGTTAGTTAGTCAGTCAGTCAGTTAGTTAGTCAGTCAGTCAGTTAGTTAGTTAGTCAGTTAGTTAGTCAGTCAGTCAGTTAGTTAGTCAGTCAGTCAGTTAGTTAGTTAGTCAGTTAGTTAGTTAGTCAGTTAGTTAGTCAGTCAGTCAGTTAGTTAGTTAGTCAGTTAGTCAGTCAGTCAGTCAGTTAGTCAGTCAGTCAGTCAGTTAGTTAGTCAGTCAGTTAGTCAGTCAGTTAGTTACTCAGTCAGTTAGTTAGTCAGTTAGTTAGTCAGTCAGTCAGTTAGTTAGTTAGTCAGTTAGTTAGTTAGTTAGTCAGTCAGTTAGTTAGTTAGTCAGTCAGTCAGTTAGTTAGTCAGTCAGTCAGTTAGTTAGTCAGTCAGTCAGTTAGTTAGTTAGTCAGTTAGTTAGTTACTCAGTCAGTCAGTCAGTTAGTTACTCAGTCAGTTAGTCAGTTAGTTAGTCAGTTAGTCAGTTAGTTAGTCAGTTAGTTAGTCAGTTAGTTAGTCAGTCAGTTACTCAGTTAGTTAGTTACTCAGTTAGTTAGTTACTCAGTCAGTCAGTCAGTTAGTTACTCAGTCAGTTAGTTAGTCAGTCAGTTACTCAGTTAGTTAGTTACTCAGTCAGTCAGTTAGTCAGTTAGTTAGTTACTCAGTTAGTTAGTTACTCAGTTAGTCAGTTACTCAGTTAGTCAGTTACTCAGTTAGTTAGTTACTCAGTCAGTTAGTTAGTCAGTTAGTTAGTTAGTCAGTTAGTTAGTTACTCAGTTAGTTACTCAGTTAGTTAGTTTAGTCAGTTAGTTAGTTACTCAGTTAGTTAGTTAGTTACTCAGTCAGTTAGTTATGACCCAATGTCCAGACAGGTAAATACAGAGTTAATACCTTTTTATATATGGAGGGATAATACATATTTAATTACAAATAAATACAATAATAATAATAAATAAAGACACAAAAAAAATGTAATCTTGGATTCAAATATTTTATATATATTTTTCAGGACTTATTCTTGTAAATGTACCTTTATTTTAAGAGAATAGTCTATTTATTTCTCGTACATTTGTGATTCTTCGGTTGTTATCTAACCACTATCAAAATGTTTTATTTTCTAGTCAATTTAAGACATACATTCATTTACCTTAAAACATGTGCCGTCGTGACTATCAGCTGTTTTATAAAGAAATACAAAGTTAGTTTGAATCACTGAGTCCTGATTCATCACTCTAACTGTGTGTGTGTGTGTGTGTGTGTGTGTGTGTTTAGAGAGGAGAATGAGAGTGTGTTACAGCTGAAGGGGTTGACTCCCACAGGAACTCTACCTGTTGGTGTTTTGTCCGGAGGACGGAGAACTCTGCAGTGCGGTGAGTGTGACACACACACACACACACACACACACACACACACACTAACCCTGTGCCTGGGAGACAGAGACACCGTGCACGGCCCGTTTTTGGTTGCGTTTCCACTAGGCGTAGTTCCGGCTAGCGGGTCCTAATTCACAGTTTTTCTGGCCCCATAAAATCGTGGGTCTAGGGCCAGAGGCAACGAGGCTGAGTCGGGCTGAGTATGCTAAACTAGAGAGAGGATCGCTGGCAAGGGGGCTACAACTACAACAAGATGGACATATTTGACCGTGATTTAATTGTAATACACGTTTCAAAATGATGCCGAAGTAACAACATACTGATACCGGTTAGTAAAAACCATGAATTAATGCTTTGTCAAGTCTGCAGACAGACGGCAGGCGAAACACCTTTTAAAATGCTTGTTTTCTAGATGGAGATTGGCTAAGCTAACGCAGTATATGCTCCGACCGTCCACACTCACAACGGCCTATACAGACATAAATAAAGCAGCGACTGTATTCACCATGACACAGGCAGTCTGTGGTTTGTACTTGTTTAACTTTTGTCTAGTTTCTGAACAGATATGAGGAGCTGTGAGCTCTGAGTGCTAACAGCTAACGGCTGTGTTGGTGTTGTGGTTCTCATTGAAGATCACGTCACGGCTCCGCCTACACTGCGTTACTATAGATACTGCCCCAGCTACTAAACTGTAATGGAAACGCAGCATAAAGTGAGCCTGGCCTACCAAGGCCTAGCTATACCGTACTAAGCCGTGCCAGGCCCTGCAGTGGAAATGTGCCATAACACACACACACACACACACACACACACACACACACACACACACACACACACACACACACACACACACACACTAACCCTGTGCCTGAGAGACTAACACAATGTTGTTGATTTTTGCCAATATGACTGTATGCAGCTGTAAACACATATTCCTCTAAAAACACAGATTATTATATTTATTATTGTTTGTAGTTGTGCTGCATCGTGTGAACGGACTGACAGATTGCAGTGATGATGATGATGATGATGATGATGATGATGATGATGATGATGATGCATTTTGATTTTAATGCATGGCTTCTTCTTCTACTCACTTTTTACAGCAACCGTAGAGGCAGAGGAGGCCAAAGGTAACCTGTCTGTCTGTCTGTCTGTCTCTGTCTCTGTCTGTCTGTCTCTCTGTCTGTCTGTCTCTTCTGTCTGTCTCTCTGTCTGTCTGTCTGTCTCTCTGTCTGGTCCTGTCTGTCTCTCTGTCTGTCTCTTGTCTCGGGGCTGTCTGTCTGTCTGTCTGTCTTCTGGTCTGCTGTCTGTTCTGTCTGTTCTGTCTGTCTCTGTCCTGTCGGTCTGTCTGTCTCTCTGGTCTGTCTCTGTCTTGTCCTGTCTATCTGTCCTGTCTGTCTTCTCTCTCTCGTCTTCTCTGTCTCTCTGTCTGTCTCTGTCTGTCTGTCTGTCTCTCTGTCTGTCTGTCTGTCTCTCTGTCTCTCTGTCTGTCTCTGTCTCTCTGTCTGTCTCTGTCTGTCTGTCTGTCTCTCTGTCTGTCTCTGTCTGTCTGTCTCTCTGTCTGTCTGTCTCTCTCTGTGTCTGTCTGTCTCTGTCTCTCTGTCTGTCTCTGTCTGTCTGTCTGTCTCTGTCTGTCTGTCTCTCTCTCTGTCTGTCTCTGTCTCTCTGTCTCTC